GGCATTGGCCGGCAGATGGAATCTGGAGGAGGCCTAATCTGGGGGATCTAATGGGTCTATGGGAGGGGATTGGCAGAAGGCGGTCTCTCAAGTACCTAGGTCCAATACCATGTAGGGCTTTATAAGTGACGACTAGCACCTTGAAGCGTATCCGGAGACCAATACCTGTTGATAGTTTTATCAGTAGCTAACGTGGGTAGCAGGATGCTTAAGCAGGGACAAAATCTCTCCAGAAGGCTCTTTGTTATACATACCCCTTCATAGCACTCAGAACTCATCATTACAATGGCCCAAGTGTCCAGGAATTGGATAGTCATAGGTCTCCAGGACACTGCCATTATACTATCTACCCACCTATCTTGGAGAACCATGTTTCACAAGCTTTAAGACATTAGTAATACTACATTTGAGTCCACAGGAGGCTGATAGCATTGCACAAAAGGCACCATAAATATCTGGAGGAGATTTGTTGGCACCAAACTTACATATGAAACGGAAGCATGTCAAAGTACATGGCAACCTTCTGTTTGGTGCCTCCATATATACATAAAGGGAACATCCCAGAAGTACCAAATAACATATCTAAAATTTTGTAGCCCAATGCATGTGGAGAGCAACAGATTGTAAAAAGCTAAAACAGGGAGACCAAAGTTAAAGTCAAATTGTATTCTGGTCCAGTAATATGTTGAATGAAGCAAGATTGCCTACATTCAGCAAAATGTCCACAGGCACGTATAATTAATCACTTTTGGAATACATACTACTTGTCATTGCTCTGAATTATAGGTGAGGTTTTTTTACTCTATACTAGTATTACTTTTCTAGGTTTTTTTTTTAAGTAGAAACCCTGGCTTCTATGTGATTCAGAATTATGAAGAAAAAAATCAAGCTGACTTAATTGTGCATGAATATGCTGTCTTCCCAAGAGTTATTCATGTAACTAACTCTACAGTGATGCTTTTATAAAATTCTTTCTTCATGTAAAAAGAAACAAAGGCTCCTCTCAGGCTGATGTTTCATAACTTCACGAGAAAAAAAATATTATACAACAGTTCCATCCTTTTGTCCTTCATAAAAAGTGCTTATTAAGAAGAAAGATGAAGAAATGTTGGTAAAACATGGGAGAATTACAAAAAGTCATTCATAGCAATTCTTGAAACAAAGTAATTGATCAATAAAGGCCTCATTTGGAAACTCACAGAATGGTAACTTGGTCAAATGTGCAGAAGCTAGTTAGATAGTGCTATAACATTTTTAATGAAATTCAAAATATTGTTGATTACATATTTCTGAAAAAATATTTTACGTGAAAGACTTCTGATGACAGACAAACAACAATATAATGAGGAAAACAGATATATCATGAAAATCAATTTTCGCAATGGAAAAAGTTTTCATAATTTCTTCAACACTGGCCCATATGTACTGAGTGATTTCTTTAGTGATTACCTTTCAGCAATGTCACAATATACATTAGTGGTATCAATTCCACTAGAATGACAAAATTAGGATGTTTGTACAATGATTTAATTAATGAGGTCATGCTATCTTAACTCTCTTTGCTTACTGTATTGTATTGTGTTTTGTGTTATCTTCAAATGAGCCTTATTCCAATGTTTGGTGTCACACATTTAGTTCTTTGAAGTAGAAGAAATCTTCATTTGAGTCAAAGCAATTTAAGTCCGGAAAGTCTTCAGATTTATAACTGCTGCTTGTTGCATTTGGAAAATGCATATTCCTTATTGTTTTGCTTTGTTGTTTTCTCGTCTCTTAGAGAAAATATTACCCACACTCCCCAATATTTTTACAGGTCAGTATATGTTTTATGTCACTTAGCTTTTGAGCTGGGTCATTCTCCATCAATTGAACAAGTAGTAAGTAAGATTAGGTAGTCAAATATTGCTTAAAATTTCAGAATATAACAATTCATCCTGACTGCATCTCCAGTTGTTTCAATCCCTATCTATTCACTCTGTAGCTAAAAAACTAAACCAGTTCTAAAGCCATGAGTAATTTAAATGTAAATCATCTTAAATAATTCAACTTATTCAAGTTTCTTCATTAGCTTTTCTCTACAAGTCATATAGTATAGCACACAGCTCTCTATTGTATGGCAGCTGCTAAACAAATATCAGCTCAGAACGCTTTGGGTGATAGAATATTAACTTTGAGTTATTAACCCATATTAAAGTTTATCATTAAGGAAAGCAGTGATGCCACAGGAAGATTGCTAAACTTACCCTCTACATAATATGAAAATGTAGCTTTCGTTATATTATAAATAAATAAATAAGCATAAAATGTAGCTTCTACCTAAAAAAACCTTTGTATTCTCATTTAGTTCACAATAACTTACTTTCCACCACCCAAAAAATAGGTAGAAACAATTCCTAGCTTAAAGTACTACTGTAAAAAACAGAATTTTAACAAACTAGTTCTTAAACATAGTGTTTTTGAATTGAATATTTGGATTCTATCAATGATATTCAGGACCAACAGACATTATTTTCTCACAGTTCTGCATAATTTTCTAACTCTGCTGTTCTCGTTACTAGTGAAGACTAGATAGCATGAAAGAAATGGGTCTTAGAGGTATAGTCATGAAATGGTCTTATATGAATTTTACAAGTGACATTGGCATATTGCCCAGAAATAAGCTATACTGAATACCGTATAATATTAAATAAATGTGCATGGTATTGTACCAGCAATATTTTGGACTTTTGTTTTATTTTCAGATTAAGTTTTGTAGTTCATGTTCACTCAGGATCAGACACTGGGTCTATTTTTTCAATATTTGTTTCACAATTGTTCCACTGATTTTCAAGGGGAGGTCTTTCAAATGGCTAGAATGTTAATAAAGCTATTGGCTAAAAGTGAGCAAGGAAAAAAAGTGAAACTAAAATACAATTAAAAGATACACAGAGGCAAAGTAAGAAGCAATTAAATTAAACCTATTGCAATTATATACAAATAACAAGAAAAATATTATAAGCCATTGGGAAACAACCATTGGAAAAATAAATCAATTAAATGTGATTACCATATAAAGCAAAAAGGTAAATATACAGAAGCAGTTTTAAAAACTAAAATCTGTTTTGGTTTAGTTTTAATTTTTCTGTATTATTTACACTTTGGCTTTATGGATGAAAAAAAAACTTTTTACTTAAATTTATAGATTGTATTATTTGTCTTATTCAACACCAACATACCTTAAAGAAAAAATATGTGTATTGTTACTTGGATATTTGTTTATATCTAATTTTCTGTATAAACACATCGAAATGGGTTCCAGATTTGAAACCCATTATGCAGTAAAAGTATTCAGAGACTAAAGAGACAAAAACAATGGATCCAAATAAGATCCTTCTATTGAATTTAACCTTTTATGTTACCTTGTTGAAATTATGTTTTCAGAACACATTGAAAGATGAAAATAGAGAGAAGAAGCAGAGTGATTTAAACTATAGCAGCATTCCTAAATTTAACTAGCATCAGTGAGGGAGCTCTGCGCCCATTATATATTAGCCAGATTGGTTTTCTATATTAATGGGTCAGAGAAGATAAATCCCTAAAACTTGCCTTAAAATTCAGAGCTTTATTGCAAATTACCAATTCTGGTGATTTTAAGAAATAGAGAACGCTAAAATTTTAATAGTGGCATTTCAAGAAAACTGAGTTATACTTAAACTTCTCTTTAAATAAAACTTGAGTGTGTCTAATTAAATTGCAGTGCTAAACATAGTAATAAAAATAAAATATTTTAGGGTACGTTAGAACCTTCTTCTGAATAAATATGTTCAGAATTGTATTATATTCTGTGACTTGACTGGAACTGAACTTCTCCACAGGACATGATCAGATTTTTTTCCCCGAGAACTCATGCCCTAGTTATAAATATAAATATGTCTTATTCATATTAAATTATATCGAGATTTTTGTCCTAGCCTTCTATAGAATATGAATCAGTCGGGGTATATGTTTCATCCCTTATGCTTAAGAGTTTAAGCCTTTTTTTGAGAGTAGTGTTTTGTTTTCATTTTTGCTGTTCTGTATTATATTTTTAATATTCCACATCTGAGTTAATGTTCAATTTCCCTTTATTTTAAATTGCATTAGCTACATCTCAACATGTCTCCAGTGTATCCAGAATTACTATTATGATCTTAATTCAACAAATCTATAATTTCAATACATAGGCCTTATTTTTCCTCTAAATGTTCTCAGCAGTTGCTCTGCCATGGGCAGTTAGCATAGATATTTGTGCTTCACTGTATGCCCTATCTCTGCAATTTACCCTTGGGGGTGACNCAAATCTTACCACATTATTTATGAATTAATGAAAAAGATGATTAAAAAAACAAGAATGAACTTGTAGATAAAAAAAATCTGTAACTTTCATAGTTTTCTCCCTTTCATTCTCATATAATCCCCTGTCTGTATCAAAGTAACCATCTCATTCCATATCTGTTTGCAGTCTGCATTGAACTTTAAAATCCTCATACTTACCCTATACAAAGAATACAAAGTGTTACTGTATTTACCATTGACTTTTCTTGATTCTCAGGATAAATAGTGCCAATGGTCTGGAGATCAGGAGCATAGGGAGCCAGTCCTTCCTGACAGTGACCAATGTCACTGAAGAACATTATGGCAACTATACCTGTGTCGCTACCAACAAACTGGGAATCACAAATGCTAGCCTATTTCTTTACAGTAAGTATGGAAGTGAAAAGAAAATATCTGAGTAAATTTCACTGTTGTAGTGAAAAAGATGCTCTGTAGATAGGACAATTTTGGGTCCTAAAATGAATTAAGCAAAAGAGAAGAGAAGAGAAAGAGAAAACATCCTTCTACTCCATCCTCATATCCAAAGAAAAATAAATAGGAAGATCTCCTTCTTTAAAGTCAGGGTCTTACTTCCAAGTAGCATTGCTTAGATTTTCAGTATAAATTAACTTAGTTTCCAAGACAACAAATCCAGTTCCATTTGGAAATAATACTATTAAGCCGTATTATTCATAATTATATCCCAGCCTTAAACTAAAATTAGTGTGATTGAAAGCCATCATCAAAATATATAATATTGATATTATAAAGCAGGTAACACGGTACAACTATTATTTGAATTATTGATGAAATGTAATTTGACAACATGTAGAAAGAAATGCAAGTTGAAATAAGGACAGAAAAGAAAGAATTATCTTTCAAGACAATTCAAAAGAAGTTGAAGTCATAGATCAAAAGCTAATAAAAAAACATTGCTTGGGTTTAAAGGTTGTTTTCATGAGCTGTGAGAAAAGATGAATATAGTCGAGAGAGAGACAGAGACAGAGACAGAGAGAAAGAGAGAGAGAGAGACAGAGACAGAGAGAGAGAGAGAATCCCAACCACAGCTAGATACATATAATGTTTGCCATGGTCCTGAGACTAACTTTCCATCATTCCCAAATATAAATTATTAATACAAATTTCTGTTTGCATTGTAAAACAAATGAAGGTAATTCTGTAGCCTTAATTGTAGGCATTTTGAAACAGTGTGACCAAAAAAAAGTGAAAATAAAGCAAATGCTGCCTTTTGGTATAGGTTTACATTTTTCAACTTTTTTGTTAAGAAAATAATCAAGCCGAGAAACAGGTGCAAATGTATCTATTTACGCACATATGCATGAATGCATTTTCTAGGTTCCAATTTATCTTTTCTTAATCTTTGATAAAAATAGAATATAAAAAATCAAGTTATTTCTTAAATCAGCAAGGTCTTTTAATAGTCTTTTCTTGGAAACATAATCAAGAAAGACAACTATACCATTAGGCAGCTGAAGGATAGTTAGCAGCTAGGAGGATAGAGATACTTCAATAAAAATACCCATTAACTTATTAGCCCTCACATTCAAGGACGCATAGTTAAAAAAGATCTAATTCTGATGACAGACAATACTTTAAACAATGATTCATTGTTGAACGGGGTCCAACATTTTCTTGACCATTGTAATAGACCAACTAATTTAAGCTTCAAGTCAGACTAAAATATATTATTTCATTCTGTGTTTTACCTTGGAGTAATGGATTATACTTCTTTGGATTTTTTTCAGCAGTTTTCAAGGTCTTTATCCAGTTAGCACAAACCATTTGAATGAGTCATCACCTTTTATCTCTGACTTCAGAACTTGTAGCTTTTGAAAAATATAAACCAATAATATGGCTAAGAACAGATGCGCAATGTTGATACTTTTATAAAGAGCTAGGTAAATGGAACAATAAGGCAAAGATGGTCTTATGAGGTTCATTGGTAAATGTGCCTTAAATTTGCAGATTTGGAAGCACAGTGCATAGGAGCAGAGACCCAATCACTCATGTTTCCTTACATCCACAAATGTTTCAATTATTACTCATGAGGTCAAAGAAATAAACCAAAAGCAACTGCTGTTCAGATCATTCTTGAAAGTTGCTGCAGATTTGTTTGACTTTTTCTCAAATGTATCACAGGAGGAAGTTGATGGAAGGAAAACAAAACAATAAAATAAACAGCCATTGTAAATATTGGGACATTACTTTGACTGTGTGTATCCTGTACATATTGAAGCAATGTTGAATCAACAAAAGGGGGAAAAAAACACACCTAAAGTATGGATCTACAGATATAAACAATGAGGTTCTAGCTTTTTTAGTCTGGATGCTCAACAGCTTCCAAAGTTATTCCTTCACTTATATCCTCTTTCCTTTTCTTTACAAGTTATCCTTTTATTCACTAAAACAAGCAGTAAAAGAGGAAAACAGAATATGTATCAGTTTGCAAGAATTTGTTTT